ATAATATACCCAAACTCCCTGAAATAGAACAATTAAATAGAGTGCTAAAATAATTTTAATTATAATAAATTATTTACAAATATCACAGGATTCATCATATTTTTTTCGTTGCAATACTTCTGGTGCAAAATGTTCACATGACGTGTTCAAACCCATTTTATATAATAAATAGTCTGTTGTTTGTTTAAATGTTGTTAAATTATTGTTAACTGCTTTGGCTGCGCTTAATCCACTTACAATGCTAGTGTGTGAAGAATAATATATAATAATGTACAAAAAATTAATTGACCATTTTTTGTCAGGTTAACGCAAGAAACGGAAGCGAATTTTGTGCCATCAGCTAGAGAACATCTGAATGTGTAGAAAAATAGCTTAGAATCTGGTTTGTATCCATCTTTAAGCATAGATTTCAAATTTCGAAAAGTTATCAAACAACGGTTACATTTTTCACGTTTTCGAGGCCCATCACATTTTGTTCAGCCGAAACAACGTCACAAAATTGTGGCTTATCGCTTATATACCATTTTGTAGAGAATTGAACGGGGAATCTTTTGGGAAAAATTTGGAAAACTGAAAGTGAGATTTTGTGATGTTGAATTGGAAGGTGTTAAACTCGACTATTTGGAGTATACAAAGATTTGAATTCAATAAAGCCTCTGGTGAGACGAGAGTCGAAGTAAAATTTTTGTCAAATGTGACCACGTGTGAATTGAAGAAGAACATACCCGTACCGAGATGCGATGTAGGGTGAAGATCGAAACAATAGAAACACAAAGAAAGGGATTAGAGCTTCGTTTTTTCGGCAAGCCTAATTCTGTAGCTCCACCATCTTTAAAATAGTTTTAGATGGCTTTCTTTCTAAACAACCCGTACTTCATTTTTCTTACACCAATCCTTGGCACATGTTTTTACATGCCTGGAAATTCCTTGGATTCTAAAAGCTTTTCCACAACCAGGACCTACATATTTATTCCGTTTGATTCTTTTTTAGGTTCGTTATTTTAACTTGCACTGAGATTGTTGTCATTGTATTTAAAGTTTGTATTTTTTTACCACATGTCCTTCAATGAATTTCTATACCTCGTTCATTTTTGCAGACTCTATTACAATTTGGACAAACATTTATGCTTACTGATGTAATCTGAGTGATTACAGAAGGAGTCTTAGCTTGAATTTATGAAGTTGTAATCTCTGAACGAGTTACATGATGAATGTAAAAGCATAAAGCGACATTCTGATGAAAAGCTTGGTTGTATTTCTTGGAAGAAGTCTATAAAGAATTCTCTGGAGGTTCTTTTTTGTACGAATCTTTGCCATGTTCGATTGTTGAAATACTCATTTTAGATAAGCATTGCTTATTTAATTTGGGTCAAACGTTTCTATAACGAATATAAACACAAAATGGCTTTCTGAGCCAGAATAATTGTAAAGTGAACAAGGAAAAAAATTAGATGGTCATTTACACCTTGCAGAAAGCAAGAAGAATGACAAATAGCAGTATTTTTCTGCTTTGTCAAGTTAGATTTATCATTGTGAGAAGAAAAGTTGTTATCGTCGCACCTTTATAATATCACACACATCATGCACTACTCATTTTAGAGCCATGATGAAATACATAGTTAAATTGTTTATAATTTTTGTGACAATATTTTCGGTAGAATCAATAGTACCGTATAATAATCATCAACTATGGCGATTGAATTTATCAACTAATCAACAAGTAGCACAAATATTAGAATTAAAACGAGAAGCACATAAATATAATCTTGATTTTTGGACTGAGACATTTCGTACTCATGTTCCAGTTGATGTCCGAATACCACCGAACATTCAAACAGAATTTGCCGAACTAATGAATGATTATAAAATATCGTATAATATAACGATAAAGAATATTGGTCCAATTATCGAAAAACAATTTTTAAGTAATCGAGTTGAAAATAATGATGATTTTGATTATGCAAAATATCATACTATCACTGATATCTACGCATGGATTGATCAAATGGTTGCTACCTATCCAGATTTGGCTACTACATTTTCTGTTGGAAAAACGTTTGAAAAACGAGATATGAAATGCTTAAAAATATCATCAACCAAAATGGTTAAAAACTTAGATGGTACAATAGTCAATGCTCCTAAAAAAGCGATTTGGTGGGATGGAGGTATCCATGCTCGCGAATGGATCTCTCCAGCAACTGTTATTTATCTTGCCTATACATTACTATCAAATTATAGCAAAGATCCAACTATAACTCATTTTGTTGATCAGTTTGATTTTTATATATTACCAGTTTTCAACTAGACTGTTCATTTATCTTATCATTGAAAAGGTTTTATGTGCCTGTTGTATCACTACGATTACCATTTAAGCAAATTTACTCCTAAAACACCTCCCACCTTGAACGACACGCTACTTCTGAAGAATCGATCGTTGATGGCTACGTGTACACATGGGAACACGGTATGCTTTTTCTTCACCATTTTTCTTTTTATCTTTTCACTTTATTGTTTTTATTAAGATCGTATGTGGCGAAAGACACGATCTAATACGCCAAAGCCCTTATGTAAAGGAGCAGACCCAAACAGAAATTGGGACTACGCCTGGTGTGAAGCAGGAGCATCTAAAGATCCGGAGAGCATTCTCAAAATGGGTAGTCATTGATTGATCTCATATGACTCATATCAATATTTTTTTAATCAAAACTAACTCTCTGACAGGAGAGTTCTGATAAAAACATGATTTCTGAATACACCGCCGTGCGACGATACTTATTGTGGTGAAAAACCGTTTTCTGAGATTGAAACCCAACAGGTCTCCGATTTTATTGGCCAACATAATAATACGATTGTGCATTATATTAACTTTCACAGTTACAGTCAGTTATGGATGACTCCATGGGTAGGTTGTCATTAAAAATACATTAAAAAACGCCATCTTTACCGACATCCATTGTCTAAATTCTGACTTTAGGGTTTTACAACGCAAAAACCGTCTCAATTCAAATTACAAGACGACGGCTCTGTTCAAGCCGTCCAAGCACTCGCAGCTGTTTTTGGTAAAAGATTTAGTTGAGAACACTAAATATTTAGATATTTATTAACCTTTTTCTTAATCTTAGGAACCAAATATGTACATGGGAATATAGGTGCAACGATCTACGTTGCATCGGGCGGCACTGTGGATTGGACTTATGGGAAAGCCAATGTGTTATTTTCTTATGCCGTTGAATTGAGAGACACTGGTGAATACGGATTTCTTTTACCAGAGAATCAGATTATACCAAGTGGTCAAGAAACGCTTGCAGGTTGCTTGGCATTATTAAAATATGTTGAATCGCATGTATATTCGTGATAAACAATCATAGATAAGCAACGTTTTCAATGCTAGTTTAACATTTTTTTCTATTTTTTTTAAATACTTGTTCGAAAATATTTTTTAACTAGTTGTGTTTTGTCACTAGTTTGGTTTTTAGACAGTTTCTCAAAGTTAAGCAAGTTCAAAAGATATGATTATGTTAGTTTTTATAATAGTTCAATCTACAAGTACTAAGTAACTAGTAAAACTGTTTCTATCAAGTATTGTAGGCGAATTTAACGCAAAAAACAGCTATATCTTTATTAATAGTGCATTTTTCTGTATCCAGAATAGAGACATGCACGTCGACATTGTCCTGTTTTGTCACACAGGCCCGCTCAGGTATATGGCAAGATCAGGTCTCAGGATTCGCCCTTCTTCTTATATGATTCATTTCCTTTTATTTTCTTCGCGCTCTCTCTAGCTCTCTCTCTTTCGCTATCCAAAATTCGGAAGCTTATAAGACAGCAACCAATGAGTTTTTGATTTTATACCTTTAGTGGCGTAAGACTTATGTCTGCAGTTCCTATTCGAAGGTTCCGGAGGGTAATAATCGAGAACATAATGACAGGTATGATACGATAGTTAAATTACTTTAAAATAATAATTGGATTTGTTAGAATGTGGCATTCCATGTTGAAGAGCTTTTAGTGTCCAGGCAATTGAGAGAGAGGGCGGCATAAGAGGGCGCATCGCTTCCATCCTGGTTTTTATACTTTATGTTTATTTTACGATTAAAATGCTTTTTTTTACATCGAGTTACGCCGCTGTTACAGATCAGAATAAAATCGTTCAAAATTGGGAAAAGTCGGAAGAAAAATACAATTATAATTGGAAGTTCATTTCTTGGTGATAAGGCGGCCATAATTATGTAGGGTCGGATAGCGGTTTTTCTATGCTATTTCTGTAGCAAATAGTAGAAACATAGCCAAAAATCACAAGAGTTAGCATCCTTGTTTGAAATGCAGAGAAGGATTGATGTTCGAATGTGCGAGAATTTATATTCACAAATCGTTACTTATATGACAGATGTGTTGCCCTACATTTGTTATTTTAGTTGACAAACAGAGACTAGAATCGCTAGGAGTAATATTTAAAAGTATTGGAATGATTTAAAAGAACGATGATTAGACAATTTCGAAAGAAGTGAAGAGTATACCGACCAGATAAGAATGAGACTATCGAGAGACCTAGAAGTTGATTTAGTCATCTAATACTGGGAGTCCAGAGGAATGAAGTTGTTATTAATTTTATAAAATGATACGAGTCGAAAGTACTGGTGGTTGACTTTAAGATCGGACAAGCCTGGTTTATCGGCAATTACGATCTTTCATTACTTTCGATAAGCTTTTGTATCAACATACTAGTTGGAGATTATAATCAACTATTTACGTTTAGATAGTTTGGTTATTAGAGACGAAATAAAGAACAACAATGATTATGTCGCTTTTAAATGCAACTACGCTCTCTCTTTTCTCAAAAAAACAAAAAGCATTTTGTAAAAAGTCAGAAAATATGCCAGTGGAATTAACATCGTACCCTTTTCTAAATTACTTTTTTTCTCTTACTAAGGATTTAAAACTTTTTTTGTGTAATATAACTATTTGATAGAATGTTTAGTGAATTCGTACTCAAATTGAAATTAGTTAATATCAGCATTATACACAAGCAAAAATAAAATTTTGTGTGTATCTGTTATTACAAATTAAAAAAAATTCTCATTAGTTTAAAACTATTTTGCTAGTAGTAAGTGCAAAGCATCTTATAAAATAATCTAAATAAAATCTTATTAATACATTGTATTCACACATAAATGGTCTTTTTCTTCAAAATCAAATACTGAACGGCATTTTGGAGTAAGTTCTGATCGTTTTTTAGCAAACTTTGAATATGAACTAATGGTTTTATCAACTGTTTGTCTTGTTATTTCAACCATACTATATATCGACAATATCTAAATATCGCTTCCATTACGGAGAAATGTGTATTTCTACGGATATCGTTTGTGGTTAACGTTTCAAACTGAAAATTTCATCATAGCTATTTTATATTAAGATCAATATTTTTTTAAAGTTTAGTCAACATTATGTAGAGTATTTTCAGCAATATGTAGCTGATGTACAAGCATAAGTACATATGTTCAAGAACAATAATGGATCGATTAACTGAATCTATATTCTTATACGTGCAGCGATTGTTATTACTCCATCTCAAAGTTGCATGTTAAAGCTATCATAAACAAAGTTTACTTACACGCCCTTCCTTTTTGTTCTGTTAACGACAAAACAACTAACTTCTGTCACACTTTTTTTGTCTTATGTTATAATAAAAATCAGTCTAATAAAAACACATCTTACTCAATAAAATCTTTAAAAAAGAAAGTTGTAATCCATTATCGATCTAACCAAAAGACCAGAAGAACAACAATAGTAGATTCTACGAAAGGATATTTTCCAAAACAATGATAAGTTGATCACGAAGAAATTTGACTGAAAGTTTTTATCTAGATGTTGATAGACCTTGATCATGCACCTTCATCGATAGGTTTAAAACATATCCCATTATGGAATTATGGGAAGATATCCCATCGTCTCTAAGCTTAAAAATGTATAAATAAATTTAAATTGAGTAGAATCACATTCAAATATTCATGATAACCGAGAATAAAATGCAGCAGTTTATGTTCACGATTGTAGTATACAATTTGTATAACCATATCCGCATACATCATTCTTTTTTTTTCATTCGGGTTCTTATCTTTCTACACTATATAAAACTCATATATATCAGGTCGTGTTTGGATACTATTAGCAACAGCATACAACCACAAAAAAATTGAAGTAAATGAATTAAAATTTTACAAGATACTTGATATTAAATAACCTTCACAAGCAAAAAAGATTCGGTTTAATCCATTAATAGTTTAAAATTATTTTTTATTTATCTCCAGTATGTCTGACGAAAGTGTGATAAGAACTCGACCGAGTGTGTTTGATGCACAATTACAACTGGCAAAATTGAAACCAATTGGCGAAAATCACCGTATATCAGAACACAGATCAAGTAGACCATCACTAACTTTTGACATTCATCCTCATTCATCGGACTTAAATACACCGACAGCACCGGAAAATGTTTTTAGTTCCACGGTTCGTGAAGCTGCTTTTCGTTTTCTCCATCTAACTTCCATTTCAAATTCTGCTACTTCATCCACACCATCCAGACGTAATTTGTACAGACACATCACAGCACGTATCAATACAGGTTTACATCATGATTCCTTAATTGTTGATCGTCGTCGTTTGCCTACTTATCAGTTGAAACCAACATATAAAATTAATTATGATGAATTAAAATTAGAGTTGGAAAATAGTGAACTAAAGCAGCAAGTAGAACGAATGCATTATAATCAAGCAAATATTCAAGCTCAAACAACAACTTTGATTAATTCAGTACGAACAAAAGTAAAATCGTTTCTAACAGCAAACGATGAAGAGCGATATAAAGTCATTGTGCAAGCAATCATTTATCAAAATTCAAGTAAAAGTATGACGTGTGCATCAAGATGTCTATGGAATAAAGAAACAGATAATTCGATTACACTGAAAATGTACGGTGTTGATTGTGAAGTAATCATTGTGATATTTTTATCTTATACAGACTGAAAAACAACAATTTCTACTGTCAACGATGTACATAGAAAATATGTTATAGGTGATGAAAAAGACGGTCAATGAACTTTTTGATATAAATTATTAAGAAATTATTGTGCTGTTAGTCTTGTAAATTAGTTTGAAATAAAAATAATTTATAATATTTATTTTTTATTTGACTGCAGTATATAGTAGTATCTTGTTTCACTGGTGTCAATTAAACATGTCAATTTTGAAAGATGAATGCTGTCTTTCAGATTCTCATATGAATTACTGATGTATCGAAGGAATTATGGCCTTTCCAATGAATAAATACAGTGTCACTTATATAAAAATGTATCTTTTGAATCTACGCTATTGTTTCATTTTGTTACCTGTTAGACAACATCAGTAAATGAATTCGGTGGCAGTGTTTGACACAATTTTTGATTGTTGCTAATTTTGAACTTCTGCCGCAGTATATTCAACCAAATCTTGCAATATTGACAACCAAGACAATGGCCAAGCAATGGCTTCTCACTCGATCTCATCTGCTATTGAAAGGCAGTATAGAAGCGCAGATTCGGTTATTATAGAGAGAAGAACAAGTCTCTCAATCCAAATGAAGTGGATAATATCCTACTCATTCGAGCAATCGCTCAAAAGAAACGAACCAGTAGTATTCTTTGTCTTTTTATGAACATATCTCTATAACAACAGGAATAGTAATGGACGACGATAGATGACAGCTGGTCAGCATTGTGGGTTTCTTTATTTTTCTCTTGAAAAACTTCTAAACTATCAAAATGAAAGCCAAAAAATACAAGCCTGTGAGAAAGTTTTGTCTTTCTTGCTTAATACAAGTTTTTTCTTCTTTTGTTTTGCTTTAGCGTATTCACAGTCATATTGCATCTGCCATCATTCCAACAGGTTCAATTGTTTCTGTTCCAGCGGTAGATAAACTTTTTCCACAACAAAAATCAAAAGGCAAAGAAGAATGGGGTCTTTTTGCATCCATATTATTGAGAGCATCGCTCACAAGTAGTCTGCTAACGTCACAGGATTTAGAAAGAAAAGGATTATCTGTTGGTCATCATATTAAAGGTTCTAAGGAACAAAGGTAATTTGAAAACATTCAGTCCTAATCGATACTTGATTGTATCTATTTTCAAGTAATGTTGAAGCACACGTCCATAAACAGCTACGAAGAGCACTAGATCCAGAACCGTTGTATGCGTCCGTTGTAAAATCTGTACGTAGCATAGCGCTATTTTTCTTATATATGTATGCCTTGACCTCTTCTCTTATGATTTTAGACAACAACTCGCTCTGACTCGTTATCTAACGCTGAACGTCGAGCCACGGGTTGTATCATCAATGACGGTATAAAATGTTTTCCAATTTTTTATTATAGCTATCAGTAATTAACGTTTTCTTTTACAGACACATCTGCTACTAACATTAGGTCAATTCAGTTATCTGGAGATATTAACAATGCCGTAACCACGTTAGCGAAAATCACACCAGTTTTAAGGCCAAATCAAGCACTTACGGAAGAACTGTCATTGGTCGACGTATGGAAAAGAAAACTTTATCTATTCAAAAACTGATCGTAAAATATTTTTTTAGGAAAACGGTTTAACACTATCCACTGTTGTAGTAGCTCAACAGCCGGCTTTCAATTTGACGAGTGGTGTTCCACTAAATGAATTAACAACCAGTCACAAAGTTTCATCGTCAACAGTGGAATTTGAACAGCTTTTAGAAACAAGATCAAGTACAAAATCTTCACTTGATATTCAGGGTAGTGGAAAATTCTTAACAGTCACATTCAAAGAACCGGTACATGATACGATTGAGGTGGAAAAGAGATCTCTATCCAAAAAGTCACCACAATCATCATTATTTTATACTCCATTGACTGAATTTTTCGTACCAGATGATTCTATGCTAGATAGAATAGGTAAATAATGTTGCTGTACATTTTTGGATTTTATTTGATAATAAAGTGCATGTTTTAGTTATCCCACCACCACAAGAATATCAACCGGATATTGATGAACTAGGAAGAAAATATAATGATCAAATGGAACAAAATACACTGTTAAATGAACAAGTTCATACATTACAACAATCAAATGACGTACGAAAAATAAAGAGCATATACTTTGTTGGATCAATATCAGCAAATGTTTTCTTTTTTAGGAGCAACGACGATGTTATGATGATTTATTTAATCTTTTACAAGATTCTCAAAAGGCTCCTCAGCAACATTTAACCAATCTTTTACCACAATTCGGACGAGGTCAATAGATATTAACAGAGCGTTACCATTTTATCATACAAAAGTTTCTGTTTAGAACAAATTCGTGATCTTGACGATTTAAATAAAACATTGCAAAGTCGCTGTATACAACTTGAAAAAGAATTATATGAAATAAGAGAGAAAAATTCAGGTAAAATGGATAGTTTTTAATCTGTTGTATTTAATCAGCTAGACAAGTTCCCTTTTGAAACATTATTTATCGTATTATTTCAGATCAAAATCAAGTAGACATATACGAACTTAAAAATGAAAATTATTATTTAAGAGATTATGTACATCGTTTAAATGCAGCGTTAAGCGACTATCAAACACAACATCTACCAATTTCTTATAAAAAAGAACTGGAAGTAAGTAAGGTTTTTTCTATCTCTTAAATATATTTTTCAGACTTTAAAAACATTTCTTTAGAAAGAGCGAAAGAAGTTAATGCAAATAGGATTACCTATGAAAGGACCGACTCCGAGTTGGCTGGTGCGTGTATGTTTTTTTCATATATATAGCTCAATTAATTATATTCTAATTTTCGCTCTAGTTAAACCAGAAGTTTCTTGCTCCATTATTTTTGTGTTACGATGAAAAACTATATGAAAAAGATGAATTTATTAAAAAATTACAGGTAAGTGAAAAAAAGCATATAGTAGATTGAATGTTAAGTTGTATAACCTAAATAGAATTAAAATTACATATTTTGGAATGTGTGGTTTTGTGCAATGTGTTTTTGTTTCTAGACTCAATTATATGATCTGTCTAATCAAGTGAAAGTTATTTCACAAGAAAATTTGGTTATGCATGAAAAATTATCTAAATCAACAATAAACGATGAAACTCATCTATCAGATGTGTATGTCGTTTAAAATAGTTGTTACTTATTTGCTCATCCCTAAGCACTTTGTTAAAAAAAATCAAATAACTAATATTTGTTAGTTTAATGAGAAAAAGATAACATGACTTAAATATCAGAACGAATTTCATTCGTTAAAAATGTATTTATAGAAGAGACAAATGCAAATACCAGTGAAATTTATATCGATTAAATTTGTTCATATCAGACTAATCTGATTTGAAGCGGAAATATCTGCAGAATGTTCTGATTAGAATAACAGTTGTAACTTTTTGGGCACTTTTAGAGATCATATTAAGCAACAAGCATATCTCGTACTGGAAGAAAATAAAATTTTACAAGAGCAACTTGACTTACAAACAAATCATTTAAGGGATGTACAAAAATCACAGATACAGGAGGGTACGATTAAATTTCAATTTCATCCAACAACAAAAAAAAAAATTACTTTCTTTCTTTTTATAGTGTCAAAATTAACAAAACATTTGTTGTTAGTCGAAAGTGAACGAACAGAAACAGATAAAAACATTGAATATGTGCGGTTGAAAAATCAATATTTAACTCGACGATATGAACAATTAATGTTTGACAGTGATCACCATATTAATGTTGAAGAACATATCAAAGAAATAAGCGAAATGAAACGTTTAACAGATGAATTAAGTGAAAAACATGCGTTAGAAATGCATTTATTATTGAAACGTGTTCAAGATGCTGAAACATCAAAAAAAGTTAGAACATACAAATTAACCGATAGTAAAAGTGAAAATGAACGATTAAAAGGAGAAATAAGAACATTGGAAAAAGTTAATAAGAAATTTCAACTTCGAATACAAAATTTTGAAAAGAAATTGGAAATACAACAAATTAAAGAACAAAAAGCATTAGTACTATTAGCAAAAGTAACGGATGAAGTCGACCAAATAAGACTTGAGCGTGATACGTACCATTCAATGGTAGAGTAGTGCAGTGCACACTTTTATTATACTGTACACATTTTTCGAAACTTATTATTTATTTTAGGTAAAAATGATAGAAGAAGACATGAACACAAATCAAACACGTATCCTAGATGAATCAGTTAAATTAGTATTATTAGACGAAAACTTAGAGGTATTATAGACTCCTTTTTATATACAACGGGTGGGGTAGAAGAAACCGACCTCACAACATTTTCTTTGAAGTTTGTCCGCGATCTTCACGTTCTATAATTCAGCTGTTGTTTTGCAAAAGATTCACCATTTAATTCTCTACAAAATAATATATAGAAGATGAATCTTTTGCAACAGCTGAATTTTAGAACGTGAGGATGCGGGCAAACTTCAAAATGTTGAGAAGTCGGTTTCTTCTGCCCCATCCGTTATTGTGCTTAGTAGCCTTCTTTTTGTTAGACTTGCAAAGGAAAACCAACAGAAAAAGTGACTGAAGTACAAGAACAGTATGTTAAACGGAAGATTCGGTCATTTTCTATTTTACTAAGATGATATGTTTGTATTTAGAATGAAAAAGCAACATGAAAACTTGAAACTTCGCAATTTAGAACAGGAACAACGAATTCAACAATTATCATCGTTATTAAATGAGAAACAACTGTTAATGGACAATTTATATTCTGAGAAAAGGTTAGTATTTTTTAATATTCTGATAAGAATAGAAAAATAGTCACTACTATTTTAATTTATATTATTTTTAGAAATTTAGAAGCTGATTTAGAAACTGTATGGCAAACAACGATGACCGATGTTTATGTGTGAGCGAACAATTTATTGAATTACGAATAACTCATAGAAATTTTATCTTTTCTTTACCAATTTCTTGTTTCTCTAAACCAGAGTTGTCAGATGCTCAGATCAGAAATGCGGAAAAAAAACGGAAACGCATTTTTATGGTTTAACTTCATCCTTTTCCACGCACAGAGAGCTAAAAAAGTGTTTTCTCTAGCACTTTGTGGTTTTACTCAATAAAACACAAGAGATCAAGAAACAGAAATGTAAATCTCGATTTTAATTGATACGTTTTTGGACTGTATATTTTTGATTAGAATGAATAAGTTTAAGCAGTTCTGGCGTTGAAATAATTATAAATTTCAGTGCATGATAACGATGAGTTCAAACGAATTTTTAACTCAGGGCAAAAACAGCAAATGCGGGCAAATTGCGGAAACAACTAAAAAATACGGAATTTGTCCGCAAAATGCGGCAACTCTGCTCTAAGCGTAAAATGTTCATGCTCTAAATAATGACATTTTCCTTCAACTATTTTTTTGTAGACTTGCTTATCTAGTTTTTGCATAAAATCTTTTATTAGTGTGAACAATATTGCCTTCTTTCTTTCTTTATGTGTTTGATGTATGTTAGTACTTACTTTCGTGTATAACATGTGCATTAACTTTTTCTTAAATTCTAGTTAACTCCGGTAGACAAATACCTCTCTTCCATAAATCTGTATTTGTTTATGTTTTCTTCAATATGATACAGTAGTTATTTTTTTAATATATATCGGTAGTATTTGTGTAATTCAATTTTCTTTTCTAAAAACGATTTCATTTTTACGAATGTTTTAATAAACTAGTAGGTAAATAACAGTGAAAGCAAAATGAAACGGTGATGATTCACTCTATTATACAAAATAAAAATATTTTTAAACATCTCAAAAGTTGGTGATGTCACATCGTTCAATAATGCAAAACAAGTTTGTTTGTAGTAAAACTCTGAAGATGTTTGAAAGTGTGGTCATACCTATTACCCCTCAACTATTAGATATCAAGCCATATACTTCAGTAATACATTGATAAATAGCTTTTCGATACTTCGATAGGTTTTATTTATTCTATCACTATCACCACTATGGTAATGAACCCCAATTAAATCCGTTATATTTCTCATGCATATGATATTTAATCGTGTCGATGATTTTCAACACTAGATACTGTTTTCTGAAAAGATAAACGGACGCTTCTTGGACGAGTTATGGCTATTTTCTTTATTGAGCACGCTGCTATAACATGGAAAAAAGAAAGAAAGAAATGCAACATTTTTTTCAAAACTTAAACGTAAGATGCAAAAACTAACAACGACGAAGCACCATCATGTTGCGACTAGAAATACAATCAACCGCTAGCACCGCCGCAGAATAAAAGAAAATTTTACTTAACTGCTGTCAATCGAATGACTGGTGGATGTCAGAGTTCCGTATGGACTGGACTGAAAATTTTTTAAGTTCATGGACCCGAACTGGACTGGACTCGAAAAAATTTTTGTATTCGCTTGAATCGAAGAAAAATTAGATTATTTTTGTATTGTGGACTGGACTGTACTACACTTTTAGAGTCCATGGAGTGATAAAATTGTTTTTCATGAACTCAGACTGGACTGTACTACACTTTTAGAGTCCATGGAGTGATAAAATTGTTTTTCATGAACTCAGACTGGACTGCACTACACTTTTAGAGTCCATGGAGTGATAAAATTGTTTTTCATGAACTCAGACTGGACTGGACTTAGAATTTTGAGTTCGTACGGAGCACTGGTGGGTATGCCTATGTCCGATAATAAATTGAATCATCCGCGTTGCATTTGTTGTCTTGATGTCATTTAATCACTTGTTTGCCAAAGCGCTTTAGAAAAAACATTTCGAAAAGTTTGTTGAGTTCTCCTTTGTTTAAGTGACTCAAACTCAAGACACTGCACCTAAAATAATTGACTTTTGGAAGGATAATGTTTCAATTTATGGACATAAACAATGATTTGGCGACTACAGACAGACATGCAACCAGCGACGTACGCAGAATTCCAGTAAGGAGTGGGCCAGACCTTTTTGGCTAAAGAAAACAGTAAAGAGGTTCTTGTGTTGTATTTTTATTTTCGATCTCAATCAAAATATTTTTTTCTGTGAAATGAAGAAAACGAAATTTCTGAGGGCTGGGCCATGGCCCAAGTACTGGATACGTCATTGCATGTAACATACATATAAAAATAGATTAGATTTAAATTCAATAGAATTCTTGATTCACTTCGTCCAAATTGCAAGGCGAAAAATGTGCGATGAACGCTTGACACACTTTCTTTGTTAGATACTGCTCTGTAAATAAACAAAAACACAAATACTTTTGCTTTTTATTTCATGATGTTTATTTCCGGACAATTAATGAAAAACACAATCCGAAGTAATAAAAACAAACAACGTACAAACTCTTTAGGTCGCATAACAATGAAAAATACACCTAAAACAACAACAGAAAATGGGATACCTTCTCAACTGTTCGTTTTGTGTCACAATTATCCGAATTTAAATTGTATAACTGTTGTTTAACGTTGTTTTACTTCAAATACACGTATTTGTTTATCGGTAAAACCAGCAAATAATGTTTGTCCATCAGCTGACCACGCTAATGATGTACATTGTTTATCAGATTTGACTTCGTCAGCAATTGTTTTTGTTTCTAAATCCCATATTTTAATTGATGTTCCACTAGCTAGAAAATAAAGAAAAGAAAATCAGTATCTCAAAATAAAATATTTTTCATTATCTCATACCTGCGCACAACCAATAACGATTTGGTGAGAAGCACAATGCATTGATTGTATCACCACTGTCTAATGTATACAAGTGTTTTCCATCATTCAAATCCCATAACATTGCTTGACAATCTCGTCCTCCACTAGCGCAAAGTGAACCATCCGGAGAGACTGTGACAGTGTTCAAATAAGCATTATGACCATAATGATTTGTGCGCAATTTACAATTTGTTAAATTCCATACCTGAGAAAAAACGTTTAACTGTAAAACTGAAAAGGAGAGAATAGGAGAAGGATAAAAGAAAGCTAAGCATTAAACAATACTATGCAGTTGGTGGTAGTGAACTCTATAAGTATGAATTCGAAGACGTCAATTCTACTGTGGGACTAAATGATCCAAAAGTAAACTTGAGGTATTCTCATTTTCGTCCTGTGTAAAACTACAATGTGTTTGCCCCTTGCTGCTCAACTCAAGTTGCTTGTAACTTTCGTCTTTCGTATGCAGTGAGATTGTTCACATTGAGAAGAGCAGTCTTTTACCTTCACAAGTTTATCCCATCCGGCTGATATGATAAGTGGATCCTTTTGATTCGGTGAAAATCGAACACACGATATCCAATCTGTGTGATTATCGTCTTGTATTGTGTATTTACACTGTCCAACAGTGTTCCATAATTTGATTGTTTTATCACGTGAACCACTAACAATTTGACGATTATCGGCTGAAAATGCCACACTTAAAACATCTTTTTTATGATTGACAAACTGTCGAGTCGATGTTCCAACTGATAAATCCCATAATCTTAATGATGCATCCCATGAACCACTGACGGCAAACAAACCATCGGATGATATAACAACGTCAGAAACAAAATGAGAATGACCGCGTAATGCCTTATTTGGATAACCGCATAGATTTGCATCACCAACGGAATCTAATTGGTTGGATAATTGCCAGATAATGATACTTTTATCACGTGATGCACTCAATACAATGTCAGGAAACTGAGGTGTTGTGGCTATTTGTGTAATCCAATCATTATGACCGACTAGCACACCTTTCAATTGTAAATGTTCATTGGACATGACTGTAATTTCGGCTGATGAAAAGCCTGATCTAAAACAACGGAAAAAGGAGAATTCTGGAATAAGAATCTGAATAACAGGTACGCTTTGTATTAGATACAAAGTGCATAGAAACATAAAACATATCGCAAAGAAAGATAATATATTCTGTAATTAGAGCTGCAGAATACGTTAGAAATCTCTCTCAAATGGAGAAAACTTTTTCAAAAATTTTGGCGACCGAAAACAAATATTATCTGCCCAGCGTCATATTATAAAGAAAATCGTCCAATACTCTGATCATCAAATGAAGTCATTTTTTTAATAGTTCCCGATTCGTGATCATTCATCATCAGGTGAATCGGGATCGGATCATAAAAAGTCTTAAGTAGTATTTAAACATAAGTAGGTGGCTTAGATAGCTCAAAAACTTAAATTAAATGTTATTTGACTTGTGTGTTGTCAGCGAAAACTTAATTAGTAGTTTTTTTTACTTAAGTAGATGTTTCTTCATTGACAGTAGCACGCTTAATCGAACTATGGACTTAAAGCAAGTAACTACTTACCCTAACTTAAGACTGACAGCTTAAGAATATTGATAAAATGTCCTCTTACTCTCATCCTATACAAGTGGAAAAAAAGTTCTAAAACAATAAAGCTGGTTTGAAGAAACTTTCGTTAGCGCACCATACGCTTCGATTCTGCTGCATATGCTAATCGTTAAAAACGATGCTGCAGCTTTCTCTGGACTTGAGTCCTTACTTTACCCATATTGTTTACCAATCATACGTAAGTTGAAATTCTCTAAACAGTCACCATCTGTTCGGAATATTCTCGTGCCTTTTATCCGTAAGCTTCGTACACACATGTACATCTTTCGTGAAAAATCCTTCACTATTTAGGAGAACAATAAATGATATAGTTGTCGCTACGAAACCCATTCAGAAGGCGTGATAATCGACTCGAAAATCTTTTTTTGGTTTAAGCTATTTTACTCAGAAGTGAATATACCTAACAGCTCTTCTAATGCGCCGAAACACTACATAGTTGAAGAGTAGTTTAACATGATGTTTCCCTGATCGTACATTAAATATTTTTTTGTACCTGTCATCTTTTGTATTATGACACAGTTTGTTACATAAATTTTGCAATGATCAAATGGGATAAAATATTCTATTAAACTGTAGAGTTTTCTCTTATAGCGATGACAATCTAAAAAATATTCTATTTCCATCGATTTCTCTTTGTTTAGTGACGAAACGACGAAAGTTTTCATTTGGATTTACAGTAAAATATACTTGATGTATCTCTTCAAGCCCTAAAAGAAGCATGTCTGCAAAGAAATATTGAGCACAGCAATCTTCCTTTGAATCAATTAATTTTCACTTCAGGATGGTATTTTTATTTCGAAGAAACTAGACGGATACAAGCTAAGTAGCGATCAGCAATAAACGGAAAAAAGACAAATAAAGAATCGTGAGCTGCTGTCGATCAAATAAAAACAAATAGCCATGAGTAGACAAATAGGTTGATTTAATTTGTTGTGTGTGCTAAAAATAAAAATCAACCAGTTCATTTTTGACTTTTTTTTATGCTTTTGTACAGTTAACCACCGGGGAGGAACACTCTTGCCCGTTTTTTAAAAACAGAAAACTTTAAATTAATAGAAGACACAACAAAAAGAAAATATAAACGAAACATCCGTTCGCACCACACAACACGTGAGTAGAAGAAAAACTGACGACGAAAGGCGGTAATTCAGTACAGTCATTCAACTAAGGCTACATACTGTTCACAAAAGAAAAACTTGGAAATTTATATCTAAGATGGCTCTGTTTGAATTCTAACTGAATACTAATACAACGATAATAATGGGAGAAATAAAACAAGACTAAAACACAACATCATTGTGCCGCGATCGCTAAGAATGAAAAAAATAGATAATAAAACTTAATACTATGTGAAATAAAATATAGTTTAATTTTTCTTGAATGCACTTTCACCAGCAAATTTGGCGTTCGAACCTAATTCTTCTTCAATACGTAACATTTGATTATATTTGGCTAAACGTTCACTGCGGCATGGCGCACCAGTTTTGATCTAGAAGTAATAGCACATGAATTACTGATGAAATAGAAGAGAAAAAAGTTGTTTCTATTAAAAATTAAGTTCATAATAAAAAGAACTATGTATTATTGTTGTTAAGACATACTTGTCCTGTTCCTAGACCAACAACAAGATCAGCGATAAATGTGTCTTCTGTTTCGCCTGAACGATGACTGACCATAACACTCCAACCAGCTCCTCGAGCCAAATTACACCTAAATAGATAGTTAATGAACGTTTTTATGAAAAATAATTCGTTTAAGAATAAGTCCTTTCATCTGTCTCGAAAATTAATATTTCCTCATACATGAATTTGACAGATTTCTACTAAATTGTCTTCTAAAGTGTTTTATTCAAAATGAAACTTCATCCTTCGCTTCTTAAGTTTTTACTTTCAGATATAAGCACTTTTACACGAGCTCTCAAAATACGATGTTTCGTGTAACGTCCAATTACTTTACTGGTAAAAATTGACTTTCACCCTCACATTTACCTAAAAAATTATCTGATAAAGCTGGAATTTTTTACCGTAGAAAATTGCTTTTTTAACGTCATCTTTCGTGTTTTTCTTAAAACAACTGAGTAACATTTAAAACAAAAAACAACAACAAAATCATTCAGTTTAGTTTGTTCTATCTATGCCAAAAATTTCAGCTTCATTGGGTAAATTTTTCTGATAGAAATGAAGCGAAATTTTGAATCGTTTCCAGTGTTACATCCTCCATAGATCTGAAACTTAAGTAAGTTCTGTGTCTTACAGAACTTTTACATATCTCAACGGGATCTATAGTCGCCTTTCAAAAACGTTAGAAGAGAAAAGATATACTTAACAAAATACTTACGCTGAAATTGCCTCTGTCACAGTACCAATTTGATTTACTTTAAGCAAAAGACAATTACATGCATTTTTATCAATAGCCATTTGAATACGTTTGACATTTGTAACTGTTAAATCATCACTAAATAATGAAGTATGATTAACATTAATTTAGTACATTATTTGTTTAGTTACCCAACTAATTGCACATCTCTCTTTTGTTCTTTCATTCGTTGTAAAAGTAACTGAAAACCATGCCAATCATCTTGATCAAAACCATCTTCAATCGATATGATTGGATATTTTGCTACTATTTCACAGTAAAAATTGACTAAATCTTCTGAAGATAACTAAAAAAGAGAGTAGATTTTAGATAGAAAAAATGAATTCAAATTCTCTTGACATACTATTCTTGGATTATTTGGATCTTTATTGTTTAAATCGTATTGTTTCGTTTTTTCATCACAAAATTCACTAGCGGCAACATCCATACCAATTTTAATTTTGTCTTTGTAGCCAGCTTTGTCTATCGCTTCAACAATAATATCAAGAGCTAAAATACAATGAGAAACTAAAGAATTGTTCGTTGCATATAAGAACGCAAACCTTTTTCAGCGCTTTCAATATTGGGAGCAAAACCACCTTCATCTCCAACATTTGTGGCATCAAGGCCATAATGTTTTTTAATTCTAAATAAATAAAGATATGTTAAAAGAAAATAAAGGGACAAATTTAATAACTAACAAATTTTTTAAATGATGATAAACTTCTGAACCCATACGCATTGCTTCTTTGAAATTTGCTGCACCTATTAAACAATAAATAAAATTTAGAAAAGTATTATTGTCACTAAAATTTTCTCTTTTTCTCTTATACCTGTTGGTAAAAGCATAAATTCTTGCATGGCCAATTTATTTCCAGCGTGGCTTCCTCCATTTATAACATTAAACGCAGGTACCGGTAATTGAATTGTTCCATTTGATAATGTTGATATATATTGATATAATGGAAGGTTTTTGTGTGCTGCACCAGCTTTACAACATGCAATTGATATACCAAGAATGGCATTGGCACCATATTTTTCTGAACATAATAAAAAAGATAATTTTTAAGTATTTAAAATGTGATAGTTTACTTTTTGTATCTGTTCCATCGGCTTGAATCATAAAATTATCAATTTCTGTTTGTTGTGTAACATCAAAACCTTTCTAATAAAAAATGTAACAATCATTTAGATTTAAAGTTAACAATGTGTTATCACACGAATAATTACTTGAATTAACATATCTCCCAGCGTCTTTACATTATCTACGGCTTTTGTGACACCTAAAATAACAAATATAGTCATAATAAAAACTATTGTTGAAAATGAGACTGATCATTTTACCTTTTCCATGATGAACATTTTTATCACCATCACGTAATTCTAATGCTTCATAGATTCCTGTCGAAGCACCTGATGGCACACCAGCACGAAAAAGACCTTTTAACAAAATAATAAATATTGATTGAATTGAGATCATAAAAATTCACGTTATCATATTCTGAATTTATTCACTCTTATTTAATACACAGAATAAACAGACACTTGGCTTAATCTAAGAGATCTTCATATAATGAAGAATTAACGGGTAGCTCATAAAGAATGGGGGGCATTTTTATTTTATTTTTTCAGAGACTAAAATAAAGTTTTAAGACTCTATCCAATACACAATTTTCTGTCCTACAAAACTCTGTACATGTGCAATATCAACATACGGATCCTGCATCTAATAAAATAAATGAAAAAAAAGACTTTAATACAAAGAAGAGGTACCATTAGTGGTATATAAATATTTAAAAGTTTTCATCTACATTGCATATAGTTTTACGAGCCCTAATCTACATAATTCATTTTGTGACATACTCAACATTCACCTTTTATCTCATAGTCTCTCTACTTTTTTCCAAAATGTGCTGTTCTAGAAAAGCGCTCAATGATTTGTCCACGAAAAGTTTTGTATTTCCGGTATCGAGTATAGTGTAGACTGGAGTCTTAAAACTTTATTTTAGTCTCTCGAAAAAGAAAAGAAAAGTGCCCCATTCTTTATAGGCTACTTATTGGAATTCGTACTTTGAATAATTTAAATAATCCAATGATAAATGTATTTGTCTCATAAATATGAATCGGTTAGTTAAACTTCATCATTTGTGTAAATGTGATTCGTGTTTTACTTTATATAACAATAAATAAAATTACCTTTAGATGACCATAAATCAACTTCGACTGTTGGATTTCCACGACTATCATAAATGTAACGTCCAACAATTTTTAATATTTTATCACTCATTTTATTGAAGACTGCGATGGAGATCGGATTTGATACTGATAAATGCCTAATGATTATACTGTAGGACTAGCTTTGTCCTTACTATTTCCTCTAAATCTAAAAAGATCAACAGGCAAAAATAGAATAGATTTGCGAAAGATAAGTTATTATTCTAGAGTCCTACTATCACAAATGTCATATCAATCCCGTTAAATAAAATGAAAACATCAAGAAAATAATTCTGATATATCACCTATATATACACGTTTTATATCAAATTGAAAAAAATTAGAGAGAGAACATCTTATTTATGGTTTTTTTCGTTTAAAATAAAGAAAAGGTTCTTTATAAGATGTTGATACGTAACAAGTTAGAGATGGCACCGCTGTTTGAAACCTTATTTTTCAATTTTTTTCTTAAGCAGACCGTATAAAAGGTATGATGTGTTGAATTTTTTTGGCAACTGAGTTTTGTAGAGCAAAACATTTTTCTATAAAATGAGACGTTTATCAGTTTTGAGCGATGCTTCATACACAAGTTAAAAGCGTTTTTGCAGAAATTCAAACGGTTTACGTTCCGGTTCTCTACAAAACCCAGTTGACAAAAAAATTCAGTATATCGTACTTATTATACAACAGTCTACTTAAGAAAAAGGTTAAAAACTACGGTTTCAAAATCAGTATTACGAGGTTCTGACGGACTAATTTCTTCAAAAAAGTTATTATTTTTAATTAACAAATCTATCATGCTTACCATTCATTTAGATGATGTGTTGATCATCACTACTTTGGCAGCAGCCAAACGCATTGTCTGTGCCGCTACTGTCTTTATCGTTTCTCTTGCTCAAATGTTAAAGAACAATATACAAAAACATGTTGAAAAACTTTTTTTTTTCTTTATTGGCATGATATTTATTTTTCTTTTCTATATGAGCATAGAGCGGGAAAGAAAAAGGAAAAACATTAATAACTCGGCAAAAATTCTGTATAGCGAACATAAGGCACTGTATATTTGACAAATAACCTTCAGTAAAAATAAAATTAAGAGAATAAATATCTAAATTTTATCTTTTTTTCTTCTTCTTTTTTCTACGAGAAAGACACATTATTATGTAGATATAATATAGTCTAGTACATGTTTATATAATAAAGGCAAAAACATGAGAAAGAAAGAACGAATAAAGACTAGTCGATTTTGCATTAACCACTGTCTGTTGTCTATACGTAACGAACAGAAAGGATCTAATATTTGGGTTTTTTCTTAGGATTCTCTTTTTCTTGTAGCGTCGGAACCAAGGTTATGACACTGACGAGGACGTTGTTAAGATGGGAATTGCCAGAGAGAAAGAAAGAATAGTATGGCTTATTTTAAAAGAAAATTCATTCTGTTTATAAAATGATAGAAATCTTTAATTATAAAACATTCAAGTCACTAACAAAAGATAATACATGTTTTAGAAATATAAAAGGATTTTTCAACTAATAATATCCTTTACATCACTTCATTTAATATCTTAATAATAGTCAACTATTTCGCTATAAAGACAAACATTCAGGCGACAGTTGAAACTATCCATGTATTCTGTGATTCTAAGAGTGGATTGCATGAGAAAAACGTCTGCTTTCCCTCATAGAAGCATGCTCAGTGACCATCTCGGATATTTTTCAAACCAATTTCATTGTGTAGAGCATATGTGAAAACCTATCCATCCAACTTTTTAGCCTTTCTGGCATATACGATTTTTTCCAGACGAGCAAAATTCGAGAACTTATCTT